GAGTTACTAGTTTATCAAATTCCTCACTATCTGCTGAAATTGATAAAGTTAAAGACCTCTTGAACAAAGAACAAACTGTTTTAAAACTTTGAGCTAAATCTCACAAAAATGCTAATTATGTTATTTCTGCTCAAATACCTCACTCATGTGAGAAAATCCTTGGGGGAAATTTTGCTGAAGCAGAAAAGGTTTTTAAATCTCAAGAAAATGAATCTGAATTTTATTCCATAAATGAATTAAAAGATAGTTTCAAAAACACATTTATCAGCAACACCTTTATTAATCAGAGTCTCGTTGATGAACATTGTGTTACTGACTCTAATGGTGTTACTGAGTGTAATATTGAAATTACTGGAATTGATCCTACTTCTTATCCTGCACATCTTGTGAGACCAACTCCTCTCACTGAAAATATTATCGCATTTCCTATCTCAAACGGAGTGTTTCATGCTGTTCATGAACAACTTAAACAATATCCTGATTGTAGTGTTTCAGTACATAAGTCTAAATCTGATACTGATGTCAGCTCCTCATCCATCACTGATTGTAGTTCTTCTGACACTGAATTCTTTAGTAATTCAATGTTAAATAATGAATCTTTCAAATATAAATGTGTTAAATCTAAAAATGTGTTTACCAAGAAAAACTTTGGTACTAGAATTTGCTACAGGTGTGGTGATTCGACTCACAAAATCAGTGAATGCAAGTTTGATAAAACATCATTAAGAGCTGATAACATCAAAGTTAGAAATGAAAAATGGACTCTTAAATCAAATTCTTTAAACTATCTATCTAAAGAGTGCTATAATATATTGTCAAATAACTTTGTGAATGACCCATCTTCCAATGGGTCAGTGTGTTCTAACTAGTTTCTCAGCACTGCAGGGTCAGGAGCATCTGCGGTACTTAGATAGTGGTTGCTCAAGACATATGATAGGATCCAAGTCTCTCCTGGAAGACTATGTCAAGAAAACTGGTCCTGCAGTAACATACGAAGACAATGGAAAGGGGTTCACTAAAGGATATGGAAATATCAAGTGCAATAACGTGGTGTTTCAGAACGTTTCATATGTAAAGGGTCTCAAACACAATCTTATCTCAATCAGCCAATTGTGTGATGCTGATTATGAAGTTCACTTTACAAAGAGGGAAGGAAGAGTTGTTAACACTGACAAGAACATCGTACTTTCAGCAAGTAGAAAAGATGATATATATGTTCTTGACATGTTCTCAAGTGACAAGGCGCTGATGCAATGTTTCTTTACAAAGTCTCAAACCAATCTCAGCTGGATTTGGCACAAAATATTCTCTCATTTGAACTTTAAGAATCTATCCAAAATATCCAATCAAGATCTAGTTAGAGGTCTCCCAAAACTCAACTTTGTCAAAGACAAGATGTGCTAAGCGTGTGAACAAGGAAAACAAACCAAGTCATCATTCAAACCCAAGTCATGTTCTAGCATATCTGTTCCTCATTTACTTCACATGGACTTGTTTGGACCTATTCCTATTCGTTCCCAAGGAGGAAACAAGTATACTCTAGTGGTTGTGGATGAGTTTACTCGATTTACATGGGTGGTTTTCTTGAAGAAGAAAAGTCATGCAGCACAGGAAATTATCTCGTTGATTCGTAAAAATGAGACACTGACTGGTCTCAAAGTTAAGCAGCTAAGGAGTGATCATGGCACTGAGTTCTGGAATTCAACTCTTGAAGAATTTTGTGATTATAAAGGCATTGGGCAGAACTTTTCAGCTCCTTGCATTCCTCAACAAAATGGAGTTGCTGAACGAAGAAATCGAACACTAATTAAGGCAGGAAGGACCTTAATGATTCATGCTAGCCTTCCAATGTCGTTTTGGGTTGAAGTTGTTAATACAGCATGTTTTACTCAGAATCGAACTCTAATTCACAGGATTCACAAGAAGACACCATATGAGATGCTGAAAGGTCGAAAGTTGGACGTATCCTTCTTTCACGTATTTGGATGCATTTGTTATATTCTTAATCAGCGTGATCCAAGATCAAAATTTGAGCCTAAGGCTGAAAAAGGTATTTTTGTTGGATACTCATCTATTTCAAAAGATTTTTCGTGTTTTTCATATGAACAGGCAGTGCATTGAAGAATCCACTCACGTGAAGTTTGATGAGGAATCATACACTGATGAAAAAGTAGCTCATTCTTCCTCTATTTTTCAAGAGCTTCTCTCTTGCCCATATGATGAAGTTTCTCACACTGATGAAGAAGCTACTATTCCTGATCCTATCATTCCAGATCCAAATTCCTTGAATCAAGATACTGCGGTCAGCTCAACAACTCATTTTTCTGATGCTGATGAAACTCTTGAGAATGAAGACTCTCCTGCAACTGATGTTCCCTTCAGTAATAACACTTCAGCGTCAAATCCAGTGGAATCAGCTTCTGGACATCGAGAACACCCTGTTGATCAAATTATTGGGAATCTTCATGATGGTGTCCGAACCAGATCTCGTGTATCTAATAATTTTTCATGTACGTGAATTTCGTTTCAATGACTTTACCTGAAAAGATACATTTGGCTCTTCAAGATGCTGACTGGATTAAGGCCATGCAAGACGAACTGAACGAGTTCGAACGGCACAAGGTTTGGATGCTTGTTCCCAGACCATCAGGAAAGACCATCACCGGAACACGCTGGGTCTACCGCAACAAGGTTGATAAAGATGGTATTATTACTCGCAACAAAGCAAGACTTGTTGCTCAGGGTTTCACTCAAATTGAATCCATCGACTACGGGGAGACTTTTGCTCCAGTTGCCCGCATTGAAGCAATCAGACTGTTTCTCGCATATGCTTCATACACGAACTTCATTTTCTACCAAATGGATGTCAAAACGGCATTTCTTCATGTTGAGTTACAAGAAGAGGTATTTCTCAAACAGCCCCCAGGTTTTGAAGACAAAGAGCACCTTGACTATGTGTACCGACTAGATAAAGCTGTATATGGACTGAAGCAAGCTCCTAGGGCCTGGTATGAGACACTGACATCATATCTTCTTGAAAATTGCTACAGAAGAGGAGCAATTGACAATACTCCCTTCATCAAACAGAAAGGCTCATAAATGATTCTTGTTCAAATCTATTTCGATGACATCATCTTTGGATCTCCAAATGAGAAGCTGAGCAAAGAATTCGCTGAGATCATGTCTCAAAGGTTCGAAATGAGCATGATGGGGAAGATGACTTTCTTCTTAGGTCTTGAGGTTCAGCAAAAAAAATCAGGTATTTCAATTTGTCAAAGTAAATACATTGGTGACATGCTAGTTAAGTATTCTCTCAGCGACTGCAAACCAGCTTCTACCCCGGTGTCCAAAAGTGGTAAGCTACACGCTGATCCAACTGGCGCTGATGTTAATCACTCTCTTTATCGAGGAATGATTGGATCCCTTCTCTACCTCACTGTAAGTCGTCCTGATATCATGTTTGGAACCATTCTCTGTGCTAAATTCCAAGCTAATCCCAAGGAGTCTCATCTCATTGCAGTCAAACGCATCTTTCAATACTTAAAGGCCACTCAGAACTTGGCATTGTGGTACCCTCGTGACTCAGCGCTTGAACTCTTTGGATACACTGATTCCGACTATGCAGGTTGCAACTTAGACAAGAAGAGCACGTCAGGCGGATGTCATTTCCTTGGAAATCGACTAATCATCTGGTCCAACAAGAAACAAACCTCAGTAGCTACCTCCACTGCAGAAGCTGAGTATGTTGCCGCTAGAAGATGTTGTACTCAAATCTTATGGATTCAAAATCAACTTTTAGACTATGGGCTTAAATTCACAAAGACTCCTATATTCTGTGATAACACCAGTGCCATTCAGATCACACAGAATCCGGTTTAGCACTCAAAGACAAAGCATATAGAGATCAGACATCACTTCATCAGAGACATTGTTGAGAAGGGCAAGGTTGTTTTAAAGCATGTCAAGACTTCCGATCAACTAGCTGACATTTTCACCAAGGCTATACTCAAACTAATGCTCACATCATTGGCGAACTTGGAATGATCACTCTGGATTGAAAATTTGTTTTACTAATGTTTGCTATTGTCTTATACACTAATTTTTTTTGTACTGATGATGATGCGCTGATGATGTTTAGCATGCTGAGTTCATTGTATAATCTCTTATCTCTCTCTCTTCTACAAATCTTCTAAACTAAAGTTGAATGATTCACTGTATTAAACCATACACTGATAACAACTTGAAACTCTTTGCTGATGGTTAGACAAAACACCAAGTTCTATCACACGCAACTATCCACTCTTACCAATCTTACACTGATTCTATGATTCGGTGTGACAAAACACATGCTGATGAGAATCTAACAGTCTTTACTGATGGTTAGAAAAAACACCAAGTTCTATCACACGCAACTATCCACTATTACCAATCTTACACTGATTCTGTGATTCGGTGTGACAAAACACATGCTGATGAGAATCTAACAATCTTTGCCGATGGTTAGACCAAAACACCAGTGTCTATCACACACAACAATCCTCTCTTCACCTTCTTCTCACTCAGTGTCTAATGATTCAGTAAGAAATATCACTCACTGATAAAGACACGACACTCTGTGCCAATAGTTAGATAATTAAACTAGTATCTATCAAACACACCAATCACCTTGCTAACCCTAAACAAGCAAGTTGTACCTTGAATTGACAAAAAACTATCTTTTAGCATGTAACTTTCCGTGATAGCAATCTCAGCGCTTCTGTATTCACTGATTGTTGTTTCCTCTTTGGTACAATGGCTCTATTTACCCAACAGCTATTTTTTTGATTTGACAGTCTGTCACGATACGCAGTTATTTTCGCTAAAGATAATCATTACTTTTTACCGTTTCATTCCCTATTTAAACCTTTTCACCTCTTCTTCAAACCTTTTACCTTCCTCCAATCTTCCCTCTCTCTTAAAAAAAAAAGAAAAAAAAGACCCTAGAATCCTAAACTTCTTCAATGGCGGCATCACTGTTCACCTTCTCCTCCACTTCAAGAAGAGTCGTCCCAGCTCCAAACTCTCCTCCTCTTCCCATATACATCAAAGCCACCAACGTAGTTTTCAACCCTGATATTCCAGATGTTCATCGAGGTCTTGGACTTGATGATTTTGTCAATTTCTTAGTCTCCTGCCGACTCCGATACGCAATCAGTGACGTTCCATCAGAGTTCTTTCCTGAACAAGTATGTGAGTTATACTACACTGCAACAATTAATGATGATAACAACGTCATCTCCGGGACTATTGGCCGTAGAAGACACTCAGTCTTTATTACCGCTGACCTCCTCAGTGGTGCGCTCAGGTTACCAATCTTTGAACCCTTCTCTGAGCTTCCACCTATTGAACGCTGTCGACGTCTCTTTGATCAACTGGGATATGATCACTCAAAGGCTGGTACTCGATCAGCTCTCATTCTGCGTCAATGTATGACTCCAGGATGGAAGTTCTTCACCGGTGCTCTGTGCAAATGTGTGGGTCACAAATCTCACAGTGGTGATCAACTGAGCACTTATGAGCAACAAGTCGATTGCTCCCTTCTTCTCAACAAACAACTTGATTATGGGGCTTTCTTCTTTGATCAGCTTGTTCAACTTCTTCGTGCAAATGTACGCGCTGTTCATGTCCCCTTTCCACGCTGGATTGCTATTGTGCTAGATAAATTTTTCGCTGAAGCTTACTACTCACACTTTGGAAACCCCATCCCATGCCCACGCATGTCAGTGAGAATGTATCAGGATGATCCATTGGAAACTAACATCGGCATCTCTGATCGTATGAGAGAATGGATTGCAAATCCATATACTGTTCCTTCACTAACCGCTGATACTGATGAAGGAGTTGATGGTAACAACGAAGATCATGCTGATCAAGAAGCTGAATCACAGGATAGTGGCCATCTCTCCCCTTAACTTTCTCATCATACTCTTTCTGTCGCTGAGAGAGTTCACTCAGCTCAAGGGGGACAACCATTTCAGGGGAAGCAACCTTCTCCGGGGGAGCAACCATCTCAGGGGGAGCAACCATCCCAGGGGGAGCACCCTTCTCCGGGGGAGCAACCTTACTCCCAACAAGTTCCAGGTACTCAATTCCTTCATATACCGGCCTCAGCATTCAATGAGCTCCTTACACTAACTAGGGACATGAGTCTGCGTCTTTTACGAATTGAGGTCGATGTCCATCAACTGAAGGGGGTTCTTTTGCCAACCCCTTCCCCTGGCCCACAACATGATGATGATCAAAAAGGGGGAGAAACTGATGATGATGATGATCCAAAAGAGGGAGACACTGAATTTGTTGAGCTCGGATCTGAGGATAACACCTTAAACCAGACTGAGCCACCACAGCATGTGCACGAGTCTGATAGACCAGTTGCTGAGGAGCCTAATAGACCAGCAGATACTGAAAAGCTTGCTGAAGATAGTGAGGATGATGATGAACATGATGATGAGTGTCAGATGCTGGACATGAACTTCATTGATCCCACTATTCCAGTTCAAGGGGAAGCCTCGGATGATGATGAAGATGAACATGATGATCAATGTCAAATGTTATATATGAAATTCATTGATCCCATTATGCCAGTCCAAGGAGAAGATTCTGATGTAGCTAGTGAGGATACTCAACCTCTATCTCGCAAGCGCAAGGCAGCAAATACTGAATTGCCTTCTTCACACACTGATACTTCACTGCCTAGCAAGAAACCTAATTTCATCGTCAGCATATCCAACTTGGCAGCTGAATGGAACATGTCTCCTGATCAAGTTAAGCAAATTCTTGATGAAGCCAATCAAGCTCAGCTTCTAAAGAATATTGCTCAAGCTGATGAATCTCTCATTTAGCATAAACTTCAGGCCAAAGGATCTTTTGAAGCTTAGATGCAAAAGTTCTTAGAATATCAGTCCAAATCCAAATCTTCTCAGCCTCCTCCCAGTAGCAGCAAGTCATGGACTAAAAATGTTCTCGACAGGATTGATCGTAAGAGATTTCAAGATGCTCTTAAACGACGAGTGAGTAGTGATAAGATCATCAAGGTTAAAGCCTCTAAACCTCGTAACAAGAAAATTCTTACTTTGTTGATCACTCGTCAAGGTCCTCAACATCCATACACTGAAGTTGTCAAGAGGGATGAGCTGATCAGATACGGATATTCTGAATGGATGGAATTGCTCGAATTGGCATCCAAGCAAACTTCAGCTCTCTCTTCAGAACTGACCTGTGCTCTCCATTTACTGAGCAAGAAAGTTCAGCGTCTGGATCTTGTTCCTACGCAGCGTTCTCAGCAGCAAGGTCAAAGTTCTTCAGTTCCAAGAATCAGAAGGACCAGATTTCAAGTTGATAGTGAAGATGTATTGGTTTTAAATTTTGGTGCTGAAGGAATAAACAACTCTCTTCCTATCGGTGTTGAGCCGGTTCAACATAAGTTCATCTCTGTTCCTGAACATGGAATGTTTTATCTCGATAAAAACAGAAGAATGTGCTTTCAGCGCACCACAGAAATTCCAAGAGCTCCAACAACACATCTTGTTGGCTTAAGACAAATGTGCATGAGTCATCAAGATCTATCTGGAGAGTTTCACATACTGATTGCTATGGAGTTCCTGAATAGAAGAAAGGAGTTGCTGGATAGTCCTTACTGGCCTGTGAAAATTGAAGTTGAAGTTGAGTATGAAGAATTTTTGTCCAGAGGAGTTCTCGTATAGCTGTTGTTTTGAACATCATCATATTGGGGGAGATTGTAAGGTCGAACCTTATAATATGATGATGTTTGAAACTAATCACTCAGCATCAGCATATATTTCAGCGTCAGTATTAGCATCAGCGTCAGCGTATAAACTGTTCAGTATATGTAATTTCTTCAATGTAACAGATTTAGTATTTATCTTTTTTCCATAGTTATCGTATATTAGTTAGCTGGAACATCCCTGATTTGTAGGGATTGTCTATAATAGTTCTATATAGTCTTTTGTACGGGTTTGTGAAGAGGTTGTCTTTCACAAACCCTAATAGCCGCTTTGTGCGAACAATGATCTCTTTGTGAGATTATCATTCTTAGTGAAAGCTCTTTGTGATATTTCGTTGTTCTGTTCTTATTATTAGTCATTGTTTGATAAATCGATTGATCTAAGGTCCTTTCAATAGTCACACCTCGGATAAATATAGTTAATCAGGCTATATTCATCCCAAGTCCGATTAGATAACCCAAGGTCTACTCGTAGTGTCCAACTCCTCGTTTTACTTTTGCATTGTCCTAGATAATGATACTATACTAGTGTGCATGTACGTATTTATACTTTTAACGGCAAACTATTTATTTCAAAAAGTATAATTATTTGAAAACGTTTAAATCAGAGACTTTATTCCCAATGCATTTATAGTATTTATATCTCATGTTGTTCAATATACTTAGTTCACTATAAACAATGCTCTAATACCAATCTGTCACACCCCCAAACCAAGGATGGCGGAAACGTCCGGGGGTGGAGGACTTCATGTATAGTATCACAACAACAAGTATAATAATGCTCAAAGTAAATACAACCATCACAAATATAATTGAAAAAGTTACACTAAAGTATATGTTTACATGTTTCAAATCAATTACATTATGATGATAAAATGAACTGTTTGATGATTTAACGTCCAATCCTCAAAATGTTGTTGGTTTTCCTGTTTTATTGATTTCCTGAGAATACAAGTAGTTTTGAAAAAGTGTCAACAATTAAGTTGGTGAGCTCATAAGCTTTTGAAAGTAAGAGTCTAAAAGCCGATCTTTGTAATGAATTGTATGTTACCAAGAAAACAATATTTTCCTTGTAAAAACAATATGTAGTCTTAAAACCCAAGACTGGATGTGCGTGTGAGTTTTGTGTTATGTGATCTCAAGTACCGAGACCGAAAATGTACAAGTAAAATCCATACCTATTGTTATTAAAGGTGGTTTTAGATCAACATAAAAACCCTTTTTGATTTATATAATCCCGTATACTTTAGGTTTTGTTAACTCCCTATGTGGGTCACGATAGCTATACTAAGATTAACCGGTACTTTGTAATGTACCCCTTTTTGTATAAACCCGGTACTTTGTATTCGTACCCCATTTATATGAAGACCCGGTACTTTGTGATGTACCCCTTTTTGTATAAACCCAGTACTTTGTATTCGTACCTCCTTTATATGAAGACCCGATACTTTGTGATGTACCCCTTTTTGTATAAACCCGGTACTTTGTATTCATACACCCTTTATAAGAAGACCCGGTACTTTGTGATGTACCCTTATTTGTATAAAACCGGTACTTTGTATTTGTACCCCGTTTCATATGAAAACCTTTTTGTAATGTAAATGAACATTAACTATACGTATTATAGCTTATCAAAGTGTTTGTAATGTATTGCGACCTAAATATACTTATTATAGTGTAGTATGTTTGTTTGTGGTGTACAAGAACCCTTTTCAATGTAAGTCGGATGTATGGCAAAATATAACTATGTTTATCATTCTTGTTTTGTACTAATGGTAATGGAGGATGATTTTTACACTTCAGTGAGTATTTATGTTTTATATAATTATACCACCTCAAGAAACACATGTAAAATATGAAATCTTCAATATTAACACTTTGCTCAACAAGTTACAAAGTGCGATGAAAGTTATAAACTGTTATCTAGATTTTTACTTTTCTACTCTGTTTTAGAAAAATCCTACAAAAATCATATGAAGTCAAAAACTAGTTCCGTAAATTCTGGAATTTCAAAAAATGTGTCTAGTTTATTCATAATTTTTATTATGATTTATAGAAGTCTTTAACTAGTGTTAAAATGTTCATATTCATAGACTGGTCCGAATTTGCTTCTGAAATGATAGGCAGTTTTGTAAAAATCACCATAAATCGTAGAAAAATCGTGTGGAGATGTGCAAGTAGTCATTTTAAAGCCAAGAACTGGTGCTACTTTCAACTAAAACAGTTTTAAAATCTAAAATGTTTAAGTTGCCCAAAACAGTCCATGAAAGGAGTTGAACTTTTCTGATGAAGGCTGTCAAATGAGTTTAGTTGTGTTCTTGGTGTTTTAACTTGTATTCCCCCCCCCCCTCCTTCAAACTTAAGAAAAACATGAAAATATAAGGGGTATGTGTTGGGTTTTGAGCAATCTAACACTTCCTAAGTGTGCATGCAACCCTAATAAACCTTGGATCTATGTTTGTCTAAATACATGCAAAATAATAATTTTCCAAGGTTCATAACCTATCTAACATGGCATGGGGTACTTTTAAACTTAAAAGAATTAGATGATTTTACATACCTTATGATGAGTTTGATTCCTATGGAGTTTGAAAGCCAAGCACCAATAGTGTGAATGCCTCAAATGGAAATCACAAATCACCACAAACACTTGGAAAACTTTGAGAGAGTAGTATACTTTCTTATGAAATCGGCCACCACTAAGTCTCACACAACTAGAGTGTCATTTCTTGCATCATATGCTTCTTTATATATTGTGCATGGTTAGGGTGAAACCCTAATAACCCATGTTTTTTCCTTTCCAAGGATCCATGGGTTAAAAGCTCCATGGATCATCCATGGACTTCCATATTAGCTTAGCCCATTAACAAATGAGTATTAGCCCACACTATATAAAATATAATAGCGCATAATTTAATCAGTCTTCTTTTTAATCTCTAAATTAATTCATAATTAATTTAAGACTTAAATTAATTAAATAACATGACTTCATATTAATATATTATAACTTATAATATATTAATAAATCGTAAGTATACAATTCTCATAAAATTATCCATAAATCGTTTGGATGAAATGCAAACCAAATGGACCATGCCTGGTCGGATCAAGTATGTACCAAATAAGTTATGGACTTAGACACCTTATCCAACAGACTCCCACTTGGATAAGTCTAATAACTATATTTGCGTATGTTACTTTAGGAACCAACCAGCAATCGTAGCTCTCGAAAACTCTGTTGAACTATGAAGCGCCATTTTAGATATGTGATCATATAATCCTCTGTTCTCATGATATCAGCCGGAAAAATACATGGAACAACGTCGTACTCATTGTCCAGCAGTTTGTTTCCCGATTTTCGATTTGTTTGACAAGAACTTAATCGAACATATCAATTTAGTTCTGACCGGCCGGTACATAGGTCACAACAAAATCATCGAGGGGCCCAGATATCATTTCTATTTCTAGAAGGAACAGATAAACTTCGACTCATATGCTTGTTCTACTACTTGTTGAATTGTACATAAAGGCACATTTTATAACATCAAGTTACTAATGTGTTTACGTGCAATCAATGCACAACCAACTCATATGTAACAACTCATATCTCTAGGTTTGAAGATTTATATGATATTACCATCTCATGATCACTCGAGATAAATTCCATGAAGTGATACAAGTGAGCGTGGGTTTACTCCAATACTCATAACTTATGAGCACTCATGAATGTTGTAGCAACCATTGCTATGACTAAACCCATTTAGCCATCTACAAACTCGATTCATGACAGTCTTGATTCATACCTACTTCCAACATATGAACGACTGTGGAGTGTTTAAATAACTTAGTCATTCAGAAAGAATAACCTAGCTATTTTGGAATTCAAAACATGAAAAGTGAAACACAATAATAATCGAATCCAATATGGTCTCAGAACCCTTTTGAATATAAATAGAACCACCTTTTATTTATCACCATATTGATTACACATTATTCATTGTATAATGTTTCAAACAATCAACTTAAGACTTGAATAAAAACAACAGTCGTCCCATGCTCCTAGCATGTACACTTTGTTTTTCTAAACAATAGTTATGC